GTTTTGTTACCTTGTACATTGCAATCAGTTTGCTAAAATGGATGTTTTCAGATGAGGGTTTCTTCACTTCTGCATCATTTATTTTCTAACTTTGATTGTTTTAGCTTAAAAACACTTCTTGTCCAAACTTTGATTACCCTTAGATCTTGTTGGGTCTTGTTCTGTGTAATTTAAATGTCTCCAATGGTAGAGATTAGGATCTGATGTGGTTGTGTAGTTAGTAACTCGGCTATGTTTTCTAATGCTTACTCTTATGTAATGTTACTATCAACATTTTCTTCTGTGTCACCTTGTGCATATGTGCATGAGTTTCTCTAGAACAAAAGGAATTGCAATTTTACTGGATTCTGCCAATTCATTACCTGTAGTTTCACTAAGTTACAGTTCACCAGCAGTGTATAATTGTTACTGTTGGTGTATGTCTTGTGGTATTAAGTTTTCTAACTGTTACTGTCTGGTCTTACTTTATATTCCATTTTTTTAAATGAATTTTAAAAATTCATTAATTATACGCACTTTAAGAACATAAACCTTTTTTATTTAAGAAATTATGTTTTATAAATGTTTAGAAAGTTTAATGAGTATGTCCTTTCTAATTTCACATAGGCCGACAACTTTTTCCAAACATGATGCTGCGTGTAGCCTCAGTGGTTCTACCAGGTGGAAGGGAGTATCTTTCTCAGATTCAGTGGAGTCAACTCCTTTGCCTTCCATTGAAGATCGTCTGGCTGTTCTCTGCCCTTCTCAGGAGCTTCTGGAATATTATCAAAAGAAGATGGCTGAGTGTGAGTCAGAAAATGAGGACCTGTTGAAGAAACTGGAGCTATACAAAGAAGTTTGTGAAGGCCAGGTAAAAAAGAGATGATGCATGCCCTTTTAGGACTCTGGTGAAGTGTTGTCATGACTGAGAGAAGATCTAGAAGTGCCAGCTTGTATCACAAGCCGATATTTTTCAGTTCCCTTCTACCCCAGCCTGGCTACCTACCCTTTGAGTCCCTCATTGGACCATAATCCCCCCAAACTGCTCTACCTCTAAAATCTTAAACTCTTACATCTCGGTCCCTCTTATACTTCTAGTTCTTTCAGCCCCGTGCAACTGACTTTATTATTACCTCCATGGCTCCTTGACTTTTCAGTTTTCCAAATGTTGCATGTCAGTTTCTGACATTATGTCCTTCCCTTCTAACCTGAACCCGTCAGGCTTCACTTTGGTAATAACTGTACTGCCTGCACATGACTCCTCGCTTATTCTTTTGCTCTACTTGCATAGCTAAAACCCTAGCTATAACTGAATCCTACTCTCCTGGAGCAGGGTTTGCCAACCTTGGCCTATCAACATTTTGGCCTTGGTAATTCTTTTTTTAAAATATATTTTTATTAATTTCAGAGAGAGGAAGGGCAAGGGAGATAGAAACATCAGTGATGAGAGAGAGTCATGGGTCAGCTGCCTCTTGCATGCCCCCTGCATCTTACTAAATGGTATGATTGCCTATAATTCTGCCCAGCTCTTATATTCAATTATTTAGTAAGTTCTGTTGATTCTGCTTCCTAAATATCCCTTAGTCCATTCAAACATCTTCATCATATTGCCTCACCACTAGTTCAAACTCTCATTATAGCTTACCTGCATTATTGCAATATCCTCCTTAACCAGTATCCCAGCCTCCAATCTTATACCTCTTCAGTCTGCCTCTTGCTTTTCACTCCATTAATACTGAAATACTTGTAGTTGTCCAAACATTTAAGACTTTTTGATGGTTCTGTATTTACTGTTCTCTTTCCTGAGAGTACCCACCCCCATCTTGTTTCTAGCCGTCTTCATCTTTCAAGTTTCAATTTTATTTTTTAATCCTCACCCAAGGACATGATTTTTATTGATTTTAAAGAGACAGGAAGGGAGAGAGAGAAACATTGATCCATTGCCTCTAGTATGAGTCCTGACCAGGCATTGAACCCACAACCAAGGTGTGTGCCCTGACTGGGAATTGAACCCGCAACCTTTTGGTGTACGGAGCGACACTCCAACCAACTTGGCCATCCAGCCAGGGCCAAGTTTCAACTTTTTGATGGTGGTCTCTGACTTCCCAAATAGACTTGAGAGATTTTATTCTTGCTGTACTTTCCCCCTCTACTATTTTACCAGACATATTTCTCCTTTAAATAATTATTTTATTTTAATTGTTTACATGTCTGTCTCTCCACAAAATTCCTCTGCTCTAGGCAGGAAAAATACCTTTTCTTCTTTGTGTTCTAAAATTTCATAATGCTTATTGAATAGAAAGCATTTTTTAAAAATTGTGAATAGAACAGATGAATCATCTGGCATTCTGAATTCTGTAATCTGTAAAAGGAAGATATAAGAGCTTTAACATTATATGCAAACATCATACACACCCTGTAGCTTTTAAACTCAAGTCTATATACAACTTATTGTCATTTGAAGTCTGTATTGGAGTAACCATTCACATTGTAATATTTCTACAAAAACTCACTTTCCATACCCAATAAGAGAGATCTTTTCAGCTAGTTTTTCTTTTTTTAGCACAAACTAGAATGGGATTTGCAGCAGAGGGAGGAAGAGATTGCTGAATTGCAGAAAGCTCTAAGTGATATGCAAGTCTGCCTCTTCCAGGAACGGGAACATGTTTTGCGTCTCTACTCAGAAAATGACCGGCTGAGAATCAGGTACCAAGTAGGAGAAGGGAAATGTGGGAGTTATATACTAAATTAAGATAAGATTCTCTGTGGTAATTCTCTTAGGTTGTATTTCCCAGGAAAAAGGCTGAGATGGAGATTTTGCCTGCAGGATGGTTAGTAGGGAGGCTCTCAATAACATCTATGAGGAGACTTGAGCAGGGAAGAATTTGGACTGTGACACAGTGGTAACAGAAGCTTTAGCCATCCCTGTAGGGAGCTCTGAGGCTGGAACAACCTTTCAGAGGCAAAGTAGTCAGACTTTTGTACCTACACAGTGATTGGTCAGTTGATGTAGGCTGCCGCCAGGGAGGGGGTATAACCTTGAGAGAGGCAGCCCTCTTCAGCCAAAGGCAGTTCCTGGAGAAGGACTCAACAGCTAAGGGACAGCTGTGTTCCACATCATCTACTATAGTACACTTTTTTTTAAAAATAATTTTTTATTTGTTAATTACAGTTGATGTACACTGTCATATTAGTTTCATGTGTACAACCCAGTGATTAGACATTCATATAACTTATGAAGTGATCACCCCAATAAAACTATTCCCTACCTGGCACCATACACACTTTTTACAATATTATTGACTATATTCCCTGTACTATATACACATCTCATCACTGATCTGTAACTACCAATTTGTACTACTTAATCCCTTTACGTTTTTCACCCACCTTTCAAACTCCCTCCTATCTGGCAACCATCAAAATATTCTCTAATCTATGAGTCTGTTTCTGTTCTGCTTGTTTATTTTATTCTTTAGATTCCACATATAAGTGAAATCATATGGATTTCTCTTTCTCTGTATGATTTATTTCACTAAGCACAGTACCCTCTAGGTCCATCCATGTTGTTGCAGATGGCAAGATTTCATTGTTTTTTATGGCTGAGTCATATTCCATTGTATATCTGTACCACTTCTTTATCCATTCATCTATTGATGGACACTTGGGTTGCTTCCATATCTTGGCTATCATAAATAATGCTGCAATGAATATACCGATGTATATGTCTTTTCTATTTAGTGTTTTGGGTTTCTTTGGGTAAATACCCAGAAGTGGAATTGCTGGATCAAATGCTATTTCTGTGTTTAATTTTTTTGAGGCACCACAATACTATTTTCCATACTGGCTGTGCCATTTTACATTCCTACCAGCAATACACAAGGGTTTCACTTCCTTCATATGCACATCAACACTTGTTTTCTATTTTTTAAAATAATAGCCATCATAGTGGGTGTGAAGCAGTATCTCGTGATTTTGATTTGCATTGCCCTAATTAGTGATATTGAACATTTTTCATATGCTTGTCATTCATATATCTTCTTTATAGAAATGTCTATTTAAGTCCTTTGACTATTTTTGAATTGGATTGTTTGTTTTATTGTTGTTTAATTTTAAGAGTTTTTAAATACATTTTGGATATTAATCCCTTATGAGATGAGTGATTTGCAAATGTTTTCTCCCATTCTGAGAGTTGTCATTTTACTCTGTTGATAGTGTTCTTTGATGCACAAGTTTTAATTTCCATATAGTTCAATTTGTATATTTTTCCTTTTGTTGCTTTTGGTATCATATTCAAGGAATCATTGCCTCCAGTGTCACTATTTTTTCTTCTAAGAGTTTTGCAGTTTTAGCTCTTACATTTCAGTCTATGATCAATTTTGAATTACTTTGTGTACGTGTTGTTTGATAAGAGTGCAACTTCATTCTTTTGCATATGGAGATCCAGTTTTCCCAGCACCATTTGTTGAAAATATTCTTTTCCCCATCTGAGTTGAAAATCATTTGGCCATATATGTGGGACTTATTTCTGAGCTCTGTGTTTTATTGGTCTATATGTCTGTCATTATGCCAGTACCACACTGTTTTGATTATTGTAGCTTTATAGTAAGTTTTGAAATCAAGAAGTGTGAGTTTTCTAACTTTGTTCTTTTTTCAAGATTATTTTGACTATTTGGAGTCTCCTGAGATTTAATATGAATTTTAGTGTGGATTTTTTTATTTTTGCAAAAAGTGTCATTGGGATATTGATAGGAATTGCATTGAGTCTGTAGGTTGCTTTGGGTGATATTGACATCTTAATATTAAATCTTCCTATCCATGGACATTGATGTCTCTCTATTTATTTGTGTTCTTCAGTTCCTTTCAGCAGTGTTTTTGGTATAGAAGACTTTCACTTAAGTTAATTCCTGAGTATTTTGTTCTTTTTGATGCTATTATAAATTGAATTCTTTATTGTTAGTATATAGAAATGCAATGATTTCTGTATGTTGAATTTGTGTTTTCCTACTTTGCTGAATTCACTTACCAGTTCTAAGAGTTGTGTTTTGGGTTTTGTTTTGTTTGATTTTTTTGGTGGAACCCTTAGGGTTTTCTAGATATCTTAGGGTTTTCTACATTTTTGATCATGTCATCTGTGAACAAAGATAATCGTACGTCTCCTTTTTCAATTTGTGTATCTTTTCTTTTTCTTGCTTACTTCCTCTGGCTGGCACTTCCAATACTATGTTAAATAGAAGTTGCAAAAGTGGGCATCCTTGTCTTGTTCTTGATCTTAGAGGAAACTTTCAGTGTTTCACCATTGGGTATGATGTTTGCTGTGGGTTTTTCATACAGGGCTTTTACTTTACAGAGATTGTTTTCTAGCTTGTTTAAGGGTGTTGAATGTTGTCAAATGTACTTTTTGTATCAATTGATGATTGTATATTTTTCCCCTTTCATTCTGTTAATGTGGTGTATTGCATTGATTAATATTTATGTTGAACTGTGCTTTCATTCCAGGAGTAAATTGCACTTAATCGTGGTGTATGATTATTTTAGTATGCTGCTGAATATGTTTTGCCAGTATTTTGTTGAGAATTTTTACATCGATGTTCATAAGGGATGTTGGTCAGTAGTAGTTTTCTTTTCTTACATTGTATGCTGCCCTCATAGAATGAGTTAGGAAATGTCTCTTTTTCAGTCTTTAGAAAAGTTTGAGAATGATTGGTGTTAGACCTTTAAATGTTTGGCATAATTCGCCAGTGAAGCCATCAGTTCTAGGGTTTTTGTTTGTCAGGGTTTTGATTACTCATTCAATCTCCTTAATAGTTTTAGCTTTGACCTAATGCAGAACTTCTTTTCAACTGAAAGCTCATCTTCCATATCACTTGATATATGGGTCAGAGCAGTATTTGAAAGTATAGAATATGTTGTCTCCAGAACCTGAAGAGTCCTTCCCAGCATTATGCTTCCTTCTTGGTGATGGTAGGTGTGAGGTGCAATAATTTGTCCTTTACTTTGAAGGGAATTTTCTGGCATGCCTAGAACAGACCCCTAAAACTTCACTGATGTGCTTTGTAAGGTTTACCTCAAACTCTCTGGACCCCATATATCTTACCATGGGTCCTAATGCTCTTGCCATTTCTTGTCCAGTTTGATTTAATATCATATCACCAATAGTGAACTAATGTAATCTGTAGAATGGCCAGATCCTGGTCGCTTCAGACTGATTTGATAGAGAGCAGAAAAGTTAACATGGTTATAGAGAAAGACAGAAGTATGCTGGACCTGGACCAAAATTCCATTTATTACATGATTCCCATATGCCCCAGTGCCATGATAATGCTTCAAGTCACCAGGTATCAATGTCAGCTCAGACCATATATCTAGCAGTCTTTGAAATGCTTGGGTATTTCTTTTTCCCCATTGTACAGTTACTTGAATAAATGGCCATAGACCCTTTGGGGAAGGACCAGGGGTATCATTACCATGTACACTTGCTGTGGTGTCACCAGGTCCTACCTCCTGGGAGACCCAGTTCTTCCTTCAGGTAATAATCTCTAGGTTTCAAAACTGGCTGAGGTGTGGAAAATTGAGTCAGAGATTGTGATTTTACATAGGGGCCTTCCTCCCTCTTTGATTTATTTTAATTGTTTAAGCTATACCCTGTTAACCCCATCTGTCTTACTGCTAATATTATGTTCTATAAATCATCTCCATATCACTGGCTCTGAAATCTCATTTTAGAGTTTGCTTCCTTGGTCCATATCTGATATAAACTGTCTTAGGTTGGGTTCCGTGGAAAACAAACTGCAATGAAATGTACTTGCAGGAGGTTTATTGGGGAGTGTTTTCAGGAATAACTACTTATGAGGGAATAAGGAAAGTCTGATTAGGCAGAAGTGGAACTGTGATTCATTTACAGCCAGACTCAGCCAGTGCCACAAGGTGCCATAAAGTTGCGACAAGAGGATTGGGCTTTTGTAACCCTCCATAACCAGACACTCGGTACAGGCTGTCCCTTGGCTAAGGCAGTTCCCCTTGACTGATGTCAGTTCTGGAGAGAGATTCAGCTGTGAGCCATCAGCCTGCAATGCTACTGATAGTTGAGAGAATGAACCTATCATTTCGGATGAGGAGAACCTAAGCAGTGTACCCTACCACCCACTACAGTGTTTTTCTAGAACCAACTAAGAAATTAGTTTCAGACCCCTTCTCTCTGAATTCCTAAATATATGTACCTGATGTTTTCAAAATTAGTGCTGAGGTCTAGATAAATCCTATTCAATTTTAATTTGAGGTTACCATTGTTTTAAAAAGTAAGAGGGAGATCCTTTAAACAAAAATTTACTTACTCTGGACATAATGTGTGCTTACTCTCTATGAGAATTACAGGGAACTAGAAGACAAGAAAAAGATTCAGAATCTCTTGGCTCTTGTGGGAACAGACACTGGAGAAGTGACCTATTTTTATAAGGAGCCTCCCAACAAAGTAAGTAATCTTTGGTATAGAGAGCATGGTAAACGTGGCTTTTACAAAGTACAGTCTCAGGTCCATAATCAGAGCCATTTTGGTGCTTGCTAAAGAATTTAGAATGAGAATTAGTTATCATACTCCCATATCTACCTAAGTTCTCAGAGCATTTTCTATAATTATAAAATGCTTTATGATTTTATTCTTTTTCTTCAAAATTCTTGGGAAGTAGCATTGTTTACCCATTTCACTACTTGGAAATCTAAAGCACAGAGGAATAAATGTTTTGAATGAGATTAGAGAGGAAAGTTGGGATCAGACTTAAGTTTCAATACTCAAGTTTCTTTATTAATCTTTGTTTATACTGATTACAAAAATAATGCATAGTCTTTATTAAAAACAAACACACAGACATCTGTATCTCATAAAAGTGGCAGTTTCACATGATATATATATCCCAGAGATAAAGCTGTTTTTCCATTCATATAGGAATATATGAGTATATATTATTTACATTTTTTTACTTCTCAAAACAGTACCCCAGTGAGCATCTTTATACATATCTATATATGTATACTTCTGTGTTTCTGTTACTTTCCTAAAGGCCCTTGTCAAGACCTATTTATTTATTTATTTATTTATTTATTTATTTATTTATTTTCCTCACCCGAGGATTTTTTTTTTCCATTGCTTTTTCAGAGAGAGTGGAAGCGGAGAGAGAGAGAAACACCAATTGGTTGCCTCCCACACATGCCCTGAACGGGGCTGGGGACCAAGCCTGCAACCAAGGTACATGCCCTTGACCAGAATCAAACCTGAGTCCCTTCAGTCCTAGGGCTGACACTCTAGCCACCGAACCAAACTGACAGGGCAAGACCACTTTTTTTAAAAGCAGATATTACTAAATTACCCTGAAGATTTTGTTTGTCTGTTTTTAGTTTATATCACCAACACTGGGTTTTATCCAGTTTGTTACTTTGTCTACTTTGGTCATATGTTTGACATTCTTATATGAATATATCAATTTTGACCAATTTAATTTATGAATAGTGTTGATCTGTGGCACTAAAGCTCAAAAGTGAAACATTACATATATAGGAAGGCTATTTCTATACCTTCTTTTTGCTTTTTCAGGTCAGCATTCTCCAAAAGACTATCCAGGCTGTAGATATATGTGAACAGAATGAATCATCAGCTTTCAGAGCAGGTACCAACCATATTATACGTCCTCATTGGTGCAAAACTAAAAAACACAGTGCAAATAGGAATTTTTTCCTACTATACAATGATAGTGTTCATAATGATGCCCCTGGTAAGCTGAGATCTTACTGAGGTTGTGTTTTGGTTTGTAGTTTTTTTACCTTTCCATGGTGTTTGTTTATTTAGTTAGTTAGTTATTTTGTTTGTTTTATTGATTGATTTTGGGGAGACAAGGGGGAGAGAGAGAGAGAGAAAGAGAGAGAAAGAAACATTGATTTGTTGGTCCACTTATTCATGCATTCATTGGTTGCTTCTTGTATGTGCTCTGACTGGGGATTGAACCTGCAACCTTGGTGTATCGGGATGACACTCCAACTGAGCTACCCAGCCAGGGCTCCATGATGTTTTAATAGAGTAGAAATAAAGAATATGTAATTAGCATGCTTACTGTGATAAGTCGTAAAACAGACTTAGACAACTCCTAAAAGCACAGAATATTACTTAGCCTCTCTAAGCTTCAGTCATCTTATCTTTTTCTTTTTTAATGGAAATCTTAATTTTCTTTCTTTTTTTATTGATATATAACTGACAATATAACATTATATTAGTTTCAAGTGTACAACATAATGGTTTGATATTTGTATATTTTACAAAATGATCACCACAGTAAGTAGTTAACATTCGTTACCACACACAGTTACTAATTTTTATTATTATTCTGAGGACTTTTAAGATCTACTCTCTGAGCATAAGCTTCTTTAATTTTAGTGTTGCTTATTTTAACAGTAATTTTTGTCTTTTACAAGCTGGGTGATACATCATAATCAAAATGTTCAGATTTTTTTTTTTAATCCTTACCCTTTCTGATTAAATAAGATTTTACAAAGAAAATAGACATGTCGAAGGAAAATTTAGTAGTTTATTCTTCAGAAAGATGGATATTATTATTCAGGTGACATCCTAGCAGAGTTCCCTTGATTCCTATTTGAAAAATTAAGCACTAAAGTTATTGTATGTTTTGCTTTTTCTCCATTTCCTTCTCTTTTAGGTAAATGAAACTGAACTCCTATGCAAAGGTAATGCTGATGCTCAAATAGCAAAAAGCTAAATAAAGGTCCTTATTACTTTTGTTCTCTATTTTAGATTCTAAAGTAAGCAAAAGAAAACCAGCAATGAGAGAGAAGGAAGAAAGTTCTGAGCAGTACCAAAGAGACATACAAACACTTATCCTGCAGGTAAAGAACTTACTTTGGCAGACCAGAACAGTTTCTGCCCATGAGCTTAGCTCTGCGTGCCATGCAAGTATCTCCTTGTATACATGTTACATTTAGGCATCATGTGATTAATGAAATTGAGGTTATTTCTACTTTACAAAAGCTTTTATTTTAAAACCATTATTCTGTGTTAACCATTCTAGAGATGCTATTCTGAACCTTCATTTCACTCAGCTTATATGCTAAGCTCTACTCAACAAAACCATCTTACAATAAGAATTCCTTTTGTGGTTGCCTGGGGGATACACAAAGAGTTGCAGTTGTCTGTGCTGGTAGATCAGCCTTTGGGGGAACATCAGTTTATTTAGTGCATGTTTTCTAAGTCTAGGAAAGTAATGGATTATCCTCTTATCACCTGGTAATAGTCTGTCATTTGTAACCATGATTTTTCATCTAGATTCACTCAAGCTTCCGTCATTATCAGGGGGACTCTGTTGATTTAAATGACATTTTTGTCTGGCCAGTACTGTATCTCCATTTGCAGTCATGACAGCCAGACTCAGAGAAGGAAATTACATTGTATTCATTTTGCTTCACTTTTTAAATGAAAAAACCAAGAAAAGAATCATTCTATTTCTGTGCAACTAGGGAGTTTAAAAGGAGACAGTGCTAAAAGTTTAAGAAGGGAGATAGTGAAGAGGTGAGAATCAGGGTAGGGGAAACTGGGTTTTCTCACTTTCTCTGTACAATACAGATGCTTTGCTCTGTGTGTAGCCTAACCGCATTTATAAGTCACTAAAGAAGAGGAGCGTCCATTGAGGCTCCTCTTCTTTTATCTTGGTGCCCTGCTTTTGTTTTTTTTGTTTGTTTGTGGTTTTTGTTTTTTTGTATGTGAATCCTCACCAGAGGATATTTTTTCCATTGATTTTTTTTTTTTTAGAGAGAGTGGAAGGGAGGGAGGGGGAGACAGAGAAACATCAATGTGGGAGAGACATGTAGATTGGTTGCCTCCTGCATGCACCCTTACCCGACCAGAGATGAAACCTGCAACCCAGGTATGTGCCCCTGACCGGGAATCGAACCCTTGACCCTTGAGTGCATAGGCGGATGCTCGAACCACTGAGACACCAGCCAGGGCTTTTTGTGTTTTTTGTGTGTTCTTTGTTTTTTGTTTTTTAATTTTTCTGGAGAAAGGCTAACTTTTAGAGATAAGGAAAAAGAGGAAGCAGAGCAAGAGTGGATACCTCACCCTTTCCGCCTGTCTAGGTGGAAGCCCTGCAGGCTCAGCTGGAAGAACAGACGAAGCTTTCTAAAGAGCAAGTTGAAGGGCTCATGGAGGATAGACGGATCCGCATTGAAGAAATACAAGTTCATCACCAAAGAAATCAGGACAAAATCAGAGAGCTTATGAAAAAGTGAGTGTTCAAAAAAGCTGTACCTAACAGATTTAAAATTTTTTTGAGTGGCTTAAAATTAAGTCCTGTACTTTTAGCAGCATAGTGTCATGGAACTGACACTATGCTGCTAAAAGTATCAGACACCCCTGCCTCTAGGTAGGTAGTATCCGGACTTTTCCAGGAATGCTGTTGATTCTTTTCTTGAAGAGCTGGTAGGTATTTGACATGCTTCGTTTAACCCATTTGAGTGCTCCTGCTTGATCTTAGCGATTAAGAAATGTTCTTTTATCCACTGATAGGTTAACTGACTCAATACAGTAGGACCCTTTTCTTCTGTTTGGCCCTTCATGAATCTGGGAAGATATGGCTTTTCATACTCTCTATACTCACTGCTTTTGTAAGTTATGTTCTTGTTTAAGTTGTTGCAGTAGCCTGAGTGTTCTTCCTATCACTGATTCCTTTGTATTCATTCTATCGTCTTCCTCACTGTTACTAGTAGCTCCTCCATTAGGCCTTATCAAGTGCTTAAAAACATTTGATAGTTCCCTGTTTATCTTACGATAAAACCCTGATACCTTAGCATAAATTATTAGGAACTTCATCTGGCACTAAGTTAACCTTTCAGTCTCACTTCCTTTTCTATTGCTGTAGTTCACTTTGTTCTTCAGCCTAACTAATAATATCTGTTGTTTATGGAACACTCGCTATGTGGCAGGTATCTTGCTATGCAGTGTTACTCCTCTGAAGACTTCCCCAGGCAGAATTAAAATTTTCCTCCTCCACATTCCCTTAATGATTAGCATGCCTCTGTGATGACACTTATCACCTATTGTAATTATGCCTTTGTTCCTGCAGGGTCTTGCCCTGTGTGCATAATAGGCACACAGTAAACATCTGTTGAATATTTGGTGATGCTTATCAAGTTGCTTCTAACTATCTCTTTTCTATGTTAAACATCCTACATTTTAAAATATTTTTTCATGTTATATTCTTTATCCCTTCATTGTTTTTTTATTGTCTTCTCAAACTTTTCTAGTGTCTCTTCCTCCATTTTAAAATGTGATTAAAGTTGGATGTGATACTCAAATTAAGATTTCTGACCAATGCAGGCTAGAAAATGTCTTATTTTAGGTATTTTGTGCTTATGCGTAATAGCACCTTTGCTTTTCACTGGATTTTAATTGTTTTTAAGGGAACAGTATTTTTACTTGTCATAGTAATTTGTAATTTTATATCTGTCTTCCAGAATATTAATAACCATCCTAGTTTAGCATCATCTGCATATCTGAGCACATGATCAGTTCCTTCCATTATGTCATCCTAAGGATATTAAATGTCATGAAATCCAAGGCCATTGATGACTGCCCTTTGGGTGTCACTTTCAAACCATTTGTACATTAACAAGACCATACTTTCCCAGTTTGTAATTGAGAACATAATGTAAGATAGAATAAAATAACTCATTGAAAGCAAGAGGTAAGCTTGTGGTAACTGAATCAGTCTCCCTTTACACACACACACGCACACGCACACACACATTTTTCAATTTGCTGACAGTTCCTCTACTTTGTGACTGGCATTATGCTATCATTTTTCTCATGAAAAGAGCTAAGTGGATCTGACATTATTGTTCAGCGGAAATTTATAGTGACTACCTCACAATATTTAATACTCTTTGCAAATAGTTTGATTATTTGATACAGTATTTTTCTAGGTGTTGGTATTAAATTGATGGGTTGCTTACTTCTAGGAATATTCTTTGTTAAAGATACAAACATCATTTTTCTATTTCTAAATCTCAGGAGTCAGCAGGAATCTATTTAGTACCTTGTGTATATCTATTAGTTGCTACTGTTCTAGACAGTTTGGTGGTAGCAGGGCAAAAATATATATGATAAATAGTATATGCTTTCATTCAGGTTGGAAAACATGCATATTGACATGAGAGTTAAAACATGAGAGTTTATAAACAAGTTGAATTATAACACAAGACACTAAACTTAAACTGATAAGGAATGTCAGACAATGGAGAAATTAAATGGCCTGAAGCTGTCGAGATGACTGCATAGAGGAAGTTAACTGATCTTGAAAACAAGACAAGATTTGATATTGGGCAGTTTACATGTAGAGCACAGCATAAACAAATATAAAGCTGTTCTTGACATTTTAGAGTTTGTGTTAACCCTCAGAACACCATGAGTTACTTCTTTATTGTAAAGTCTAGTGCCTGGGAATAGTCCATACTTATGCAGGCTATCTGTAAATATTTCTGTAGTCCTAATAATTGTATAATATGAAATTAGCACCTGGCAAAATATCTGTAAAGACCAGCCTGTGAAACAGTGAGCATGGGTAGGTACATTACATTTTATCCAGTAAAACACATTGGGTTGCCAGTGATCAGATTAAGCATTTTTAAAAAACTGCTAATAATATTTTACAGAATTTTTATATTGTACAATTTTTAAAGAACCTATGTCTTTCTTTTGTTTGACATAACTGTCGTGTGTGCTGCATAAGCATCTTCATGTCCACATTTGTACTTTCTTTCATAGTCTCCATCACACCCAAGAATTGCTCTATGAGAGCACCAAAGACTTTTTGCAACTCAGATTTGAAAACCAAAATAAGGAGAAGTCGTGGATGCTTGAAAAGGATCAGTTGATGTCAAAGATTAAGCAATACAGGGTACAGTGTAAGAAGAAAGAAGATAAAATTGGAAAAGTTTGGCCAGTTGTTCATGAGAGTCATCGTAAACAAAATGAATATATTAAGGTAATTTCTGTGTATTTACAGAAATTCTTTCTTGTTTTTTCTGCAAGAATTTGAAAGAACTCAGAGAATTCCAAAGAACCTAAGCATTATCATACAAGATCCATTCATCCAGGAAGCTGATGTAGCAACAACCTCAACAAACAGGTTTCAAAGAATAGCTCATCTTTACAATGTTTGTAGATTTAGAAAATGAAACGATTGATTGATTCATTTATCAATTGATTAATCGATCAATCAATCAGTTGATTCATTTCATTCAATAATTTTTTGTTTTTGTTTTTTTAAATATTCTTTTATTGATTTCAGAGAGAGGAAGGGAGAGGGGGAAAGAGATAGAAACATCAATGATGAGAGTCATTTATCAGCTGCCTCCTGCATGCCCCCTGCTGGGGACTGAGCCCGAAACCCGAGCATGTGCCCTGACTGGAAATCAAATCTCCATCTCCTGGATCAAAGTCAATGCCCAACTGCTGAGCCAAGCTGGCACAGCAACAGTTGTTCTTTGTTATTCTTATTTTTTTTTTGTAATCCTCACCAGAGAATACCTTTCCATTGTTATTTATTTATTTATGTATTTATTTGTGTAGTCTTTATTGATTTCAGAGAGAGGAAGGGAGGGAGAGAGAGAGATAGAAACATCAATGATGAATCATTGATTAGCTGCCTACTGCACGCCCCCTACTGGGGATCGAGCCTGCAACCTGGGCATGTGCTCTGACCAGGAATCTAACCATGATCTCCTGGATCCTAGGTCAATGCTCAACCTCTGAGCCACGCCCGCCAGGCTCCATTGACTTGAGGGAGGGAGAGAGGGAGGGAAGGAAGAAAAGAGAGAAACATCGATTTGAGAGCGACACATTGATTGGTTGCCTCCCATGTGGGCCGTGACTAGGGCAGGGATTGAACCTGCAACCCAGGTATATGCCCTTGACTGGAATCAAACCCACGACCCTTCAGTCTGAGGGCCGACACTCTAACCACTGAGCAAAACTGGCTAGGGCCCGGCTATATTACTCTGCTTTACTTGGGACAGTTCTGAACTTCATTATCTACTCTTCACAGAGCCAAAAATATTTGTTTTATTTTAAAGGATTTCTACTGTGTACACTTTAGAAAAAGGCTAAGACAATCCTCTTTCAGACGTTCTCCAAAGTTCCTTACTGTCTTGTTACTGAACTCATTTGTACTGGAAATCCTTTCATTGCTTCCTTTCTTTACCTAAGTGCTATTTGAATTACCTAAGTTATAGAACTGAGTGCTGTTGTTTTTCCCTGCAGTCCCTAAAAGATAAGTTAATACAAGAGAAAAAGCTGTCCAACATGTACCAAGAGCAGTGCATTTCCCTGGAAGAAGAACTTGCCCGAATTCGTGAGGAAGAGGGAATGAGGAGAGAGATCTTCAAGGTACAAAATTCTCTGCCACTTATGTGGAAAGTCAGATGGCTCAGGAAATGCTTCCCTCATTTTCATATGCCTCCCCATTTCCCTGTATTTAGGATCGCTCTAACAAGATGGGGAAGCGTTTACAGGTAATGAGAAAACGCTATGAGGCCTTGGAGAATCGGCGTATCTTGGAAGTAGAAGGCTTTAAGACAGATATTAAGGTTCTCCGGCAGAAACTGAAAGACTTGGAACAAATGCTCTATAAGGTAATTGCTGATCCTGAATTACTAAAAGGGAGGAAAGGGATACAGATGAGAACACATGGTTGTGAGGGCTCCTCAGAAGGAAGATGTGCTGTTTCCCTGAGGTAGGTACTAATGGATCAGCACCCTTTAAGTCTCACTAAAACTGATTTAACAAGTACATGCTAGAGGGAAGACAAAAATAGGTTGAAATAATTGAATGACTGCATCATTATACTTTTCTCTAAACTAAATTTAACAGAAATTTTCATCCCTCCCAATTTAGTAGATTAAAAGAACTGTTTTTTTTTACAAATAGGGAAAGTAAATAATTGAGTAACAAAGTAATTTTTCCCTACCAGACACAGCTTTTTGTAGAAACAAAGTTGCCTCAAAAGCCTACTTACAGAGATTTAACCAGTTGTCTACATACCCTAAACGATCACTATGTTCCAAAGTTGATTGTAAAAAAGAAGAGGTACGCGCTAGCCGGTTTGGCTCAGTGGCGAGAGCATTAGCCTGTGGACTGAAGCATCCCGGGTTCAATTCCAGCCATGGGCTCGTACCTCAGTTACAGGGTCCGTCCAAACGCCCTGGTTGGGGCATGTGTGGGAGGCCACCAATTGATGTGTCTCTTTCACATCAATGTTTCTCTCTCTTCTCCCTTCCACTCTCTCTCAAAAGCAATGGAAAAAAATATCCTCCCTTAAGGATTAAAAAAAAAAAAAAGAAGAGGTAATTTCTTTGGCAAATTTACCAGTGATGTTTTTGTTGTTCTCTTTGCTCATTGTTGTTTCTTAATCTCTATCTTGAGGCTCCTTTACTGTTCTGTGGGAAAGCAGAGAGTCTCGTGCCTTTTCTGCTTTAATTTGACTCTACATTACTATCTTTTAGTCACTAAAACTAAGGATTGGATTTACCTTATGTACCAAATGTCTCATAAAAAGGAGCCAGCATAGCCTGGTCTTTGTGACTGATTTCTTTCCTCTGGCATATGCTGTAATCATTTATTCGGTTTGGTGTTGTTTTTTTCAAATCTCTAGGCAACATTTAATGCCCGGGGAAACCAGGATCTTGCCATTTTGTGTGAGGTTCGTGACAGCAATAGACGGGCACATAAGATTCAAGGAGAACTGAAGAACCTGAAGTCCAAAGTATTTGGTCTGGAGCATGAACTTAGACTCTGTTGATGTTTACTTTTAGAAATGGCCCTTGTCTGTAATGAGTCTATTTTCTGAAACCTGAGAAAAATGTCATCTCCCAGAAACTGCGGGCAGAGTTGACTAGAGTGGCAGTATCCATTATTATAAAGACAGGGTGAAGAATCAGGGACCACTAAAAAAGCCATTCTTGAATGCTAAACTTTCTATTTTTTTCTGTCCTATTAACCTTTTTTGTTTTGTTTTGTTTTGTTTGGGGGGGGTGTCTGAATTATAACCTGAATTACTTAGAGATGTTCTCACGTTATTTTTCCCCATTTATAATGGGAGAGTTTTGTTTTCTAAGAAGACAGTGACCATGAAAACTTAGGAAGAGAGGATATTTGCTGTGACCTTGCTGAGTGTCATTAGGAGGAACACTTCCCTTGAGGAGAGAAAGGCATCCACCCAGATTGCCTTTCTCCTAGGCAGAGAGACAACTGTGGAATGTGAATAGGCAGTAATTCTGCTACTTAACTTTCTTCAGTCAAGAGCTCTGAGGTCTAAATTACTTTTATGGACACTCAAACTCATGAAGTTTCACCAGAGGGCGATAAGACCCTGCTCTTAAGCACAGTGTTTATCTAGGAACATAAAGGTGCCACTGTGGTTAGTATGAGTAAAACTTAAATGATCCTTGTAAGAAAAGTTCAGTATTGTACCAATAACATGTTTTTTTAAAATAATGTATATATTTTAAATTAACTATTTTTCAATAAAATATATAATTCTCTCTGAGTTTTCTATAATTTTGTGGTAAAATCACGTTTATATTTTGTTAATGACTCTGTTTACTTACTTGGCCCATGGTCTCTACAATCCTGTACAAGTATTAAAGTTTTCCTAAATGTATCCCTTGAAGTCATCTGCTGTTGGAGATAGCAAAGATAGTACTAAAGATGATGGCACTAAGATTATCCATTTTTTCCACCTATATCCTCTTTTAGGCAAATTGCTGTGCATTTGATGCAAAATAATTGTGTGTGTACCTGGACAACCTCTGGGAAATTAGTTGGTCTTAGCTTAGTATGGCATTTTATGATTTACCCAGGAAAAAGAAATGGAAATTACTCATGTTTTTATGCTTGTGTTAAGGAAAGTGGTAATTATATGGTCCATAGGAGATGCTACTTAAAAAAAAAAAAAAAAAAAAAAGCTTACGATAGCAAATCAGGCTTTTTTCACTAATAAGTTGAGACAGAAATTCCCAGAAGGACCAGCCCTAAACTTTAGAGGGATGTACATAGCAGATGGGTCTTCCTTTTGTCCTAATGCTTTAGGAATTGGCTCTTCATGACTTGCTGTTTTGATGCTAGGCAAAACACAAAGCCCTGTTGAATCAGAATTTCAGAGTAAGAAGCAATTATAGACCATATGATCCAACTTTTTAATTTTATATATGACTGAGACCTACCACCACTGACTTCAGCTATCAGTTGATAGTTACTAACACCCTGGCCTCAATTCCAATAACATTCATTTTCTTATTAACTACCCATTAGTGTAGTCAGTCTCTAAACACCATCAGTTAAAACTACACCGTCTTCAGTAGCAGTACAGAGTAGTGGAAAGAGCCTGCCTGGGCTTTGGAGAACCACAGGTATAGGTTCAATCATGTCTCTTCCTAAATCTCTCAAGGCTCTACTCTTAATCTGTAAATTAGAGATGAATCTATGTGCTTTAGCAGGGTGATTGTGAGGATTAAGAGAAAACCTAGTATCCAGAATATATAAAGAACTCTTACAACTCAATAAAAGGACAACACAAAAAAAATGGCCAAGGTATCTGGATAAACATTTCTCCATAGAATATATATAAATGGCCAACAAGCACATTAAAAGATGCTTGCCCTGGCCAGTGTAGCTCAGTTGTTTGGGTGTCATCCCATGCACCAGAAGGTTGCTGGCTCAGATCCTAGTCGGCAAATGCCAGGCTTGATCCCCAATAGGCAGAAGGCAGCCAATTGATGATGTGCTCTCACACTGATGTTTCTCCCTCATCCTTTCTCTCAAAATCAATAAAAACTATTCTTTAAAAAGAGATGCTCAGCATCATTAGTTATTAGGAAAATGGAAATCAATAATGAGGTACCACTTCACACCCACTAGGATGGCTGTAATACAAAAGATAGTAGGTGCTACTGAGGGTGTGGGGAAATGAGAAGCCTGAAATATTGCTAATGGGATGTAAAATGGTATTGCAGCTTAGGAAAACAGTCTGACATTTGCTCAAAAAGTTAAACAGCTACCATATGATTCAGTAATTCCACTCCTTAGGTATATACCCAAGAAAAATGAAAATATACATCCCACCCCTAGCCTTTTTTGCTCAGTGTTTAGAGCGTCAGCCTGCCAACTGAAGGGTCCTGGGTTCTATTCCAGCCAAGAGCACATACCTTGGTTGCAGGCTCAATCCCCAGCCCTGGTTGGGGAGCGTGTAGGAGACAACCAGTTGATGGGTCTCTTTCACATCTCTCTCTCTCTCTCTTTTTCTCTCTCTCTCTCTCTCCTCCCTCCCACTCTCTGAAAAGCAATAGAAAAAAATATCCTTGGGTGAGGATTAAAAAAAAGAAAATACACATCCCCACAAAAACTTGTACATAGATGTTCATAGCAGCATTATTCATAATAGCCATAAAGTGGAAATAACCCAAATGTCTATCAACAGGTGAATAGGTAGGTAAAGAAAATATTATTCATTGTAAGGAATGAAGTACTGACATATCCTGCAACATGAGTGAACCTTAAGAACATTGTGCTAAGTTAAAGAAACCAGACACAAAAGGCCACACATTGTGTAAGTCCGTATACATGAAATGTCACAATAGGCGAATCCATAGCAATAAAATAGGTTAGCAGTTGCCAGAGGCTGAGGAGAGAGGTTTGGAATGAGGAGTGACTGCTAATAAGTGTAGGGTTTCATTTTGGGGTCATGAAAATGTTCTAGAATTAATAGCGATGGTTGCAAAACAATAAACTAAAAGCCACTGAATTGTATACTTCAAAAAGGGTGAATTTTATGGGTTGTATATTTTTTGAAAGCCCATGAAATAGCTTAGTTCTGTGCCTAGCATACATTGGGCATTCAATCATGGTTAACTATTATCTATATTTTGGCTTCAATTGACTTCCTATCAAGTGTCCAGTATTGTTATTCAGATTCCAACATGTATTTAATACCATTCATTTCTTCATTCAGCATCTTATTCTGAGGTGCTTTGTATGTACTAGAAATTGTGCTGGATCTTAAGTTTGTAGAGAACATGGAAATAGACTTTGGCCGGGGCACTTGCAGGGGGCAACCAATCGATGTGTTACTTTCACATTGATGTTTCTTTCTCTCTCCTTCCTCCCTCCCTTTCACTCTCTCTAAAAATCAATGGAAAAAATGTCCTCCTGTGAGAATTAACAACAAAAACAACAACAACAAACCAGCAGAGGCGACTTAAATGAGGTCATATTTGAGCTGAATTGTAAAAGTGAATTCGGAATCAGACAAGAGTTTGGGCATTCTAGGTAGAAGGACAACATGTGTGGCTCAGCACATGTTAATTGGCAACCTTGCCTTGACTTTTGGAAAGGGATAGTTAAATATTAAATAAAGGACCTGGCTGGCATGGCTCAGCGGTTGAGCATCGACCTAGGATCCAAGAGATGAGGTTTGATTCCTGGTCAGGGCATATGCTTGGGTTGTAGGCTCAATCCCTGGTGGGGGGCAGGAGGCAACCAATCAATGACTCTCTCATCATTGATGTTCCCATCTCTCTCTCAGCCTCTCCCTTCCTCTCTCTGAAATCAATAAAGATATATTTTTTTAAAAAATTAAATAAAGGGATCTAGAACCTGAATGAAACTAATATATTGTCATGAAGACTTGTATAAAATTTTATTTGGCCCCAAGCTCAAAAATGAGTCAAGATTGAACTGGTCGTCCTGGAGTTCTTTTTTCTTTTACTTAGAGTGATTTCTCCACTCCAGCCCTACACCTCCTGTACCTGATAAGCTTCTGCAGAAAATAGCTATGTTCTCTATTTGCAAAAGGCTCTGTTCTCTTTCTTGTTTCATTCCAAAAAAGACCTTATAAGCTCTTTTTTCTCTACATGTTCTCTGCTTAAGTCCTCCTAACACGTTTGGGATTCTGTATTTTACATCAACTCAGTCCGACTAGACCCCTCTCAAGTTCATCCCTCCCCATCTCCTGGTGCATCACAGCTGGTCTCCCAGCCTTACCTCCTGGGCACTGGCAATTGGGGGTGCTTCCCTGTCCACATCTGCACTGACATTGCCCCTGCTCTCCTGCTTCTTAGCTCACTTTGCTCATCCGACTCCTGTGTCTGCTTGGCATGCCCATTCCTTATCTCTGACCCCTCTTCCTCTTGTCCCCTCAGTGTTGCTGTTCCCAGGATTCTGACTTAGGCTCTCCAGCAGTCACCCATGTCCTCTCCCTACATGATCTCATGCTTTTTTCCATGACTCCAGCTACTAATGTTGAGAATGTTTGGTTTTTTTTTCTCCTACAGGTCTCTAAAATCAGGAGTAATCTCCCTTGAGAATACTATGAAATTTTAGGGGAAACTTACCTAAAAGCAAGATATTCAACCTAGAAACCCAGCATAATACAGGGATTGGACATTGCATAGCAAAGGGCAGATGACCTAGATGAGAAAAACAATTCAGAGACTGCTTTGAAATATCTGAGTTCACTTTCTAAATACTCTAAAGGAAAACTGAGAGTGTGAGCTGTTTTCTGAAAAGGGCTGTGGTGCCTGGCCAGTGTGGCTCAATAATTGAGTTTCTACCCATGAACCAGGAGGTCACGCTTCAATTCTCAGTCAGGGCGCATGACCAAGTTGGGGGCTTGGTCCCCAGTAGGGAGCATGCAGGAGGCAGCAGATCGATGATTCTTTCTTGTCATTGATGTTTTTCTCTCTCTCTTCCTCTCTCTGAAGTCAATTAGAAAGGCCTGAGGTGACAGAATGCAAGGTTTTCTATGCACATCTCTCCCTGATCTACACTGACAGTTCTCTTTGGAGGGCAAGATGCCTGGCTGAAGAGCAGAATCTTTGTCAAGCAGAAGACTGAGAAGCGCCAGGACAAGAGGAATGTTTGGGAAGAGCTCAGCACTTCGCTTTTTCCAAAAAACTGTTCTTCATGCCAAACACCTGCCCTGACCACCTTCCACCACCACCACCACACACACACACACACACACACACACA